ATCCCTCCATTGTTGCAGTGGGATGACCCTTTTGCTTTACAGGTAGATTTGTTCCTGTTAGTATTGTTCAGAAGATGTTCTAGGAAAGGAGAGGAGTAAATTAAAAGCATTGAATGACAAGGAGAAACCTACCTGGCTTGTTACATCACCCAGGGAAACAGTAATTGTAGGGACTATTGTTTACTCTTACCTGCCAAGACAAAAGAAGCCCAGATCCTACTGCATTGCCAGGAACCCCAAAAAAGATGGAACCCCAAAAAAGATATAATGAATAAAATCTGCACTGGATATAATTAACAATGAATAAGTCACCAATTAACTTGGGCCTTGAAGAACATATTGTAACCTCCCTTTTCCTTCCATTCTCTTCATTTCATGTATTGTCTCTTTTTAGACTGCAAGGCAGAGGACAGAAACTTTCTCCCAAAGCTGCTTTGAGAGATCATAATTATTTGAAAATCAGAATAAAATAGCAGCAAGTAAATAAATAATAACAATTTTAAAACCTTCTGGTTTGCTCTAACCTACTCAGATAAAGAATGTCTAATGTGCATCTCTCAGAGTCACTCCAAACTTCTATTATTCAGAAAAAAGAAAAAAAATTAAATCATGGTAAGTAATCAAATCAACAGTATGTAATTTATTGATATTAAATCAAGCATAGTTTTTATCATGGCCTCACTAATTTCTTTCCCTTGTCCTCATCCCCTTTTCCAAGTGCACCTTCTGCCACAGATTGTAAAGGCTAAGTGAAAAAATCTGAAAAGAGTTGGACTGCAGTGCTCTCATATGTCCCGAATTCAGAAAAAAACGGCAATACAATGCTCAATTCTATGTAAATAACAGATAATCAAATATATAAAATTTATTATTTAACATCTACATGAAACTGCTGGATAGGATCATATGTAGGCATAGAGTTGAGGTATCATCAATATGCTGATGATACCCAATTCTACACCTTAGCCCTACCCAGAGAGCTGTTGTTAAAGAGGTCCTGGCCCATTGCTTAGAAGCACTTAGGGCCTGAATAGTAACAGACTCAGGACAATCCTTGCAAAACATAGTGTTTGTTATTAAGGATTGGCCCACCTTTATCTCTGGATAGGATCAGGCTCTCCCATTCAGAGCTAGTTTATAAACTGAGGGGTCTCCTAGATTCACTGCTTCTGCTGGAACAGCAGGTCTCGATCTTCAGACAACTGCACTTAGTGTGCCAGCTGCATCCTTTCCTGGATCAGGATGCATTGCTCACAGTTACCTCATAACTGTTACCTTGTCACCTCATGGTTGGTCTACTGCAATTTGCTCTACATAGAGCTGTCCTTAAAGACCATCTAGAACTAAAACTGGTGTAGCCTGCTGCTGCCCAGTACTTATGAGTGCATCTAAATTGGCCATGTAAACCTTGTACTCTGGGAAGTGTATTGGTTACCAGTCAGTTTCTGGGTGTAATTGAAGATGCTGGTTAACAGCTTTAAATCCCTATATGGCTTAGGGCATGGATAGCTTCAGGTCTACTTCTCCCCCATCAGGGAGAGAAGGCCTACTGAGAATCCCTCACTGAGGGAGTTTAATCTGCAGGAGTTCTGCCTTTGGGCATTCTCAGTGGTGGTCCCCCTTAAGCTTGCCCTAACACATCCAGAACACTTCCTCTCTGCCAGGTTTTCACAAAATAAAAAATTAACCATTCAATGCTTTCAGGGGAGGTTAATGGGAGCATGCCTCCGGTGGATGGTCCCTTTAGCATAGTATTTTTGGTCTCTTGGGCTTTTTTTCTATTAATTTTAATGCATTGACTTTTGTCATAAGCCACTTAGAACCAGTCTGAAATAGAGCAGCTTAGCAATCTTAGTAATAAATAAATAAATAAATCCAAAAAGTTTCTAAGTAATGGAGTTAAGAATGAAGGATGGCAGGAAAGTGAATATACTTTGGGGAAATGCTTATCGTGAAATACTTCTGCTCTTCACATGGTAATAGCAGACATATGATATTTATTGCTACATAGCATGAGATATCATTCATTCTAATCCTCTAAGTGATATTTGACAAGTGTCCCAAGCATTGGCAAAACTAGCTCTATTACAATCTATAGTATTCTTGCTATCTCCCCTAAAGTGCCCCTGATTTTCAGTTAGAAAGAATTTTTTGTGGATAAAAGAAGGAAAAATGGACCCTTTGTGCTATTCATTCATTTGACAGATTTTCTCAGACTGGCAGCCAGCCCTCACATTAAAGGCTTTGCTCTTGTTGAATGTCTTTGCTGGACATGGTCCCTGTAGCACTGGAAAGCTGCCATAGATATGGCATTAGCGAGCAGCAGCAGCAACTTCATAACAGCTTCTCTTTATGTTGATAAACTAGCAGAGTCTTTCTCTGCTGGTAATTGCGTCTGGCTAAATTATCCCTGCTCAGTGGCTTTCAGGTAAATAAGGGTTTTATGCCTGTGTTCTGTGGAAATGAGGATTCTGTTATTTGGCCCCATTAGCCAATCTGATCACTACATAATGATTGAAGTAGTGAACATTGATTGAAGAACAGAACTGAACTGAACTGAACTGACAAAAAATGTGTAATAATGCATCATCAACTATCCTCTTTTACCCAAAATACCAGCGTACAAATGCTGTTAAATAAATGCCTTAATAATGTTGCTATCCTCAAGATATAATAGCAGTCTCTTCATGCGGATATTCAGACAAGTAGGTTTATACTGTAACTCACAGTCTGTTTAACATCTATAAATTAAACGGCTGCATGGAGATTGTTCTTCAGGAAACTGGTGTCCCCCATTCTGGTGCCTTCCAGTATCATTTACTTTCCATGATACTTATTAGACAATTCAAAAGTCCAAAACATCTGAAAGTCAACCCACTGCAGACACCCAATGCAGACCATCTCTTAGATATCCTGTTATAAAAAGTAATATGTATGGCATGAAGAAGTTGTGTGAAAACATTAGAACAATGAGAGATATTTTGTTTCTATGGTGCCTTATCATGAATGTGGAGTAGATTCCTGCAAGAATATACCATACAGTATTTACATGAAAGAGTAATCAATTGCCTTTAAAGTGGGAGAACTGTCTTAGATTCAGTGAGAGCATGGGAATAGAAGAGGACAAATAATATGCTAGGTTTTTTTGCAGTGGGGGAGGGGGAGGGAAGAATTGAGGATTGCTTCTTTATGGAAAGCTATTTTCTTGCTTTAGAACGTTATCCTGCAAAAATGTTACAACATAATTTATCTTCTTCCTGCACAAACTGCCATCTCGTAACACATGAACAGCAAATAATAATGCAATGCTCTTGATAACAATAGACAGAACAAGGAGAAACTGAAGAGCCATTTCTCAAAAAGCTTTTGAGGCTGAAATGACAAGAAGCCATTGATTCACTTTTTGTAGAGGCCAGTACAGATACTCCCATCATTAAGGTTGTGCGATCTACTTAATCAAAAGGGGGCTCTCTTAGGACTTGCAATTAGCATTTGAAGTATAATTTGCTATTTAATGAATGCTCTTTTTTATCTGTAATTACTCAGAGCAATACAAAACTCCCTTGGGTCCTTACTTTTTATCAGTACAGAGATCAAATACTGTTCACCCAACTACATTTTGTGGAGTTCTTTTTTCTTATGCAAATAAATACATCATCAGACAGCCAGACACGGGAGCACAAGCTGTACTCTGGATCACTCTGATTAAGGCCTAAGAAGGGGATATTTGTGTCCCTAAAAGTTGCTTATATATAATAGGTTGGGATATTTCTTTCCTTCACTAGTTGTACAATTATCCCTTAAAATGGATGGCAATCATCTCAAAGAAATACTATTGGTTACTGTGAAATTAAGAATGCTCAGGTAGGAATACATTGTGTGAACATCTTAACTGCCCCTTCAAAACATGAATGTTTAGATTTGCTACAAGATTAAGCTTATCTGAGATTTCATATATAATTCTAGACATTATGCTTGTAGCCAGACTGGCAATTGGTTAGTTTCAAAAAAGTGATGACTCTCTATATGGTAGAGATAAGTGTCCCCTATTCCTTAGGGTTCTCTTAAGAAGCTGGTGAAAGAGGAATTGTGCCAGTAACAAAACTCAAATGGCATGTGGAAAATGATAGATGATTTGTAAAACTGTGCCTATGGCCCAATCATTAGAATTTTCCTTAAATTTATGAAAAAGGATACTTTCTTTCTTTTTTTTAAAATAAAACCCATCTATCTCAGCATTAGGAAAGTGAAGTTAAATTCATGAACTGAAAATTGAAACTAATTTCTTGTAATGGAAAATGAATTATTTAACCTTTTATCTACCTAACCTACTTTTCCCACCTGGAATAATGAAGACTGAAATGCAGAGGCTCCATTTACAAGATGGCATATATAAAGCAAAGACAAGACCAGACAGTATTATTTGAAAAAGGTACCTGGTGGAAAACAGACTTACACTTACTTTCTGAGCAGGGAGAATGAATAGCCTGATCTGCAAGCTGTTTCTTGTGCTGTATGTATGATGATTTTTAGAAGATCTTTTGGAATATGATATATGATTTAAGGAGAAATGTATAACTATTGGAATAGGTATTTTGAAAAAAAATATTATAATCTATTTTAGAATAGCTGTATGCTGTAGACTGAGAACTGTATGCTGAAGTGACTCTCACAGATCAAGTCAATGTGGGATTTATATAACTGTAATCTAACATTTCTGTTATGAAATAATAGCTGTGTAAGTAATATAAAGCCATTTATATAATCTGCAGCAAGTGACATAATTATTTTTGTAGAGAAGTGTTAAAACTGTTTCTTTATAATGAGAATTACACTTTATCTGTAGAATAATATTAATATTCATACTAGGACAAAACCATTCATGTAGACAAAATAAGAAATCACAACATATCTCAGTTGTCAGTGATACAAGTTTAATGAAGTTAAACATATAGCAAATAAGGAAATTAATTTCAGAAATTGCTATTACACTCTGTGAATGCATGAACATTTTTTAAAACTAACTAATTTGTTCCATCTCTTCTTATTCCATGGCTAGGACAGTGGATCTATTCTAAAAGGAAGAGTTCATTTTGAAAAAAGTTTAAACATGCACTTAACATTTTTACTTTTTATTAAGAATCACAATAAACTCTCAGGGTGGAAGATTTCATTTTTTATGTATTCTGCTGGTTTACAGGCACTTGAAATAGGCTTGATATACATACAAAAGTGAATTCCTGACATCTGGCAGCATTTTAGAAAAGCAAATTCTTTCACTAGTATTTACATATCTTTGGGAGCAATGATGATGTTGGTTTTTCTACTGTGGGTCATCTTGGCTCGAGGTTTTGCAGCTCCTTGTAGTCCAAATAAAGCAGGTAAAATAACTGATTTTTTAAAAAGTAATCTAGCTATATCTGCCACATGCCTGATCATATTTGACTAAATAGCATAAATGGTTAACAGAAACGTATACCATACCTTATGTAAGGAACTATGCATGTAGAATTCATAATAATGACATATGGAATTTAATGGGACTTTATAGGTGATACAAACCTGCCCAAATTTAAGTTCAGTTGATTTTAAATACCCCACTGAAGTCAATGGGATCTTATATGAAGGACTGAAATGTTAGTAGAAGTCATTGTAACTGCAATTTGCCAGTGGGTACTCTATTGCTATTATTCAATATTTGATACTTTAAACAGCATTTCATGCATAAAGGAATGGTTAGTTTTCCCTTTTCAAGTATATGTGAAAACAGGTCCTACCCATGACAAAATTAAAGTCGAGAATGACTTCAAGGGCAACAGATGGGGTGAGTTTTGTGGCACCTAAACATGTATTGTGTCATGAGCCTATATATCATGTAATGGACAGAAGAGGCAATTGACCTTGACCCAAATTTTCCATGTTTTGTGTCCATGTTGCTGTAAGGCTAAAGTAGCGTGTGAACAGAAATGACTAACCGTTCTACTGAATTTTCCCATTTACGGTATATTGTTCCCCTTATGATTATGATTCCCACAGAAGGAATAGCAACATGATGTTCCCCAAAATGAGGCAAGGAGTTGTTGCAAATGCAAATGATTCATTCTGTTCTTTTTCTCCTTGTGAAAATTGTTTGTGGCGTGAACGCCTGCTTTTGTGCTATGTTGTGCAGACTTACATTCATGCCTGTAAAATTAAGCCTCAGAATAAAGATGTGGTTAATAGTTTGCTGGAAAAAGAAGTCATAAATTGTAGATATTACTAATCTTATTTGGATGGTTATGCTTCATGTAATTTCTAAGCATGAGAGGAGAAGACTAGTTCAGATATGCAGGCTGTGTTGCTGTCTTTAGCTTCCACATATGCAAGTGTGTTGTCTTCCTCGTTGCCCAAAGAGATTAGTATGCAGTTTGAACTGTTTGTTGTGGTATTAATTGTGGAAGCTGATAGTGGAAAATCCTGAAAGCTTCATTTGAATCAAAGCTGAAGCTCATCATCATGGAAAGAGCATACTTGCCCTGATTTTGCAAGCAGAACTTTGCTGCAGCAATGTGTTTTCTTTTTCTTTCTTTTACTTAAGATATAATTTTGGTATATTGTTATCCTAAAACAATTATTACAAAAATCCCAGAATGTCCATATGGATGGGAAGTTAATCAACTGGCTCTTGGAGGGATTTGCTACAATGGAATTCATGATGCAGGATACTATCAATTTACCATCCCAGATTTGTCACCCCAAAACAAATCATACTGTGGAACACAATCAGATGTAAGTAAACAATGTGTTAATATTCAGTTTTGCATACATGATTATACTTCTGTGAGGTATGTTTGAAGTTAAATATATTTCATAAGTTTTTATTATAGCACTTTATTGTAATTTGAAATAATTTGAAAAAGAATGGATACAAATTTTCCAGCATCTTTATCTTTTCAGTATTGTTAAAGATAACTAAATCATTTGCATTTATATTAAAATTCAAAGTCAAATACTCCTTGCTGTGACATTTGAGTCACATTCAGTCCTTGAATATGCAATGCCTGGCCAAAGAAAGAAAGGGACTAAACATACTTTGTAGACATGGACAATTTTTTTCTTCAACTCTATTCATCTAAAAAAAAAAATCAGCTTCACAACTATTTTATTGCATTGCTCTTAGGAGTACCATTGTTACAGCAGTGTTATTTAACATAGTACTATACATATTTGATGTAAATTCTGCTTTTTTTTCCTTATCACACATAGATTAATGCACTATTTAATTTTATTTATTTTCACTGTACAGTTGTTAGAGGCATGGTGCTTACACATGTGTAATACACACACATACCAGAATTAAGGCTAGAATATATCCTTAATTTACCAGCTATGTTTCCATACTACCTAGCAACAGTCAAGAGCCAAAGAAAAGTGTAGCATATCCTGTTCTATGATACAGTATTTTATGTATTTCAAAAATGGATATATTTAGGGTAGCAATATTTAAGCTGTAAACCAGACTTATGATGTTGGATTCATAATGCATGTTCATACTTTATTGACATAATGGAAAGTCTGATTGATATCACTCCTTGTGGGCAAGGTTTAACACTATGTTTACAAATTCAGTTGTTTTCTATAAGTCTGATAAAGGGTTTTTTTGCCTTTCTCCTTTTCTTTATTGTTCTTTGTATTTTGTTATTTTCTGTTTATTTTGTTGTTCATGAAAGCAAAGAAATATCTATTAAACAAAATAAAACATACAGTCTGCAAAAGTCCAAGCAACCGCTAGATGCAGCAACACACTAGTTTTCTGTGTCCCTTTGCTGCCCTCTAGCAGTCACCAGGCCACATACGATAACTATATAAGGTGCCCTCTCACTCCACAGTCCTGGGCAGCTTACAAAACAAATAAAAGCATAATTAAAAATAGGAAGTACAAAAAAATAAACACATATAATTACAACACTAAATTGTTAAATGACCTGGGTGAATAAGGTGTTTTTGAGTTGCCCTCTGTAATTACTTATCTTCTGTCTCACTCTGGGCAGTAGAGTTGATTGAGCCTAGAGAGGCAGAGGCCTGGGGGCAAGTAAATTCTGGCAGTGATCAGGAGAGGAAGACCATAGAGGAGAAGAAGATTACTAAGCATATCTTGCCCCCAAATCCTAAAATCTGGAACTATCACTGAGTGATTTCATACAGCCAGAAACCTTCTTTGCAAATAGGTCTTATGTTTATTCTACACCATCTTAATTATCTTTTTGTCCCTAGGTCAAATGTATTTTTTATTCTCCCAACCCTTTTAATCATGCTTAGTGCTGCTGTGATTTTTTAAAAAATGTTTTATTGATGCTTTTACTCTCTGTTATTGTTTTATTGTATATTTTATTTTCATATTTTACATAAAGCTTTTGTGTATAATTTTTGTTAGTTTTGTTTAACTTACTGCTTGCTTTATTTTAATTTTATTATAAACCGCTTCAAGATTTTTAATGGGAATTGATGTACAGATGTTTGAAAGTAAATGCACTTATTTAAAAATCATTTTAAAATAAATAAATAAAATTTAAAATAAATGCATTTATGAGACGTGCTTTTGAAGGCAAAATTGTGCTTATCTCTTGTGTCTTCGTCTTGTGAAATGGCTTGATTGTGTTCTGTCAGGAACTCACCAGATTTAGAACTGAACTAATGACAGAACCATTTAATCTGAAATTGCATTTGCATCTTTTTCTTCCCATGCAGTTTAAAAACCCTGTCTATCATTTCTATAACTCTATCATCTCCAATGATAGCACCGTCATTGTGAAAAGCCAACCTGTCAACTACTCATTTACCTGTACCTATCATGCAAACTATCTGGTGAACCATGCTGCCTTTGACCAAAGGTAACTGTGCCCCAATTCACTGGAATTCCATCTTCTAGCATATGTTTCACTCTATTTTCAGTAGCATAGGATTCAGTCCTGTGACATTTTCTGCCTCTTTCAGAGTGGCGACAGTTCATGTGAAGAATGGCAGTGCTGGTTCCTTTGAAAGCCAGTTGTCTCTCAACTTCTATTCTGTAAGTATAGCATATGTGCTGATTTGCTCAGTAAATCTCTCAGTAGTATAGTGAAAAAGACAAACACGGATTTCTTGTTTCACTGAAATATATATATATATATATATATA